CCTCATGCTCCCTGAAATCAGTGGGGCTGCCAGATACAGAGTGGGACATATCTAACAAGTCCCCAAGAGTCTTCTCCATGCACCTAACTGACTGTCTCTGCTTCTCCAGGCCACCTTGGCCTCAAGGGAGCAAATTTGTTCCCTAAGAACCAGGAGCTCCTTGCACCGAGCACACACCTTAGTCTTCTGTACAGTGGGCAGATAGTCATACATGTGACACTCCATGCAAAACACTGGATAGCCCCCAACCCCCTGCTGGCATTCTGGCTTCATAATTGCTTTTAAAATAATTAAATATAATCCCCCTTTTAAACCCTTTGTATTTATGTGCTTCCCCTTGTTGAAGTCTACTTACCTTACTGAGAACACAAGGAGTCTAGGGCCTTGGCTTTCTGGCTCTTCCTGGGCTTCTTACAGAGCCCCTAGTCTAAGAGTCCCTAGGCTAAGAGCCACACACAAAGAACCCTTTAGATCATGCCTCTGGCAAGGTGCTGCCTTAAATAGAGGCCTTCCCTAGGAAAGGGCGGGGCAGCAGCTATTCAAATTCACTCAGGCACTCAATTTACAATCAAACAACTACCCTTTCTCACCCTATCTCAAGCAGCCAAGACTCTGCAACAACTCTAATCCCTTACACACACTCCCAAACACAGTCCTCCCACACAATACCCTCAGCTAAATCCCCTCAGCTGAAAGCAAGTAAAAAAAAAAAAACCTCACCCATCTAGCAGCTCTGTCTCCTGCTCCTTCTCAGAGCTCAGCTAGGTCAGCCTGAGTGAAGAGAAATATTTTGACCTGGCACCTGAAAGAAAGCAACACAGGTGCCAGGATAGATTCAAGGGGAAGTTCATCCCACAAACAAGGTGCCACTACTTTAAACGCTGATTGCCATCTCTCTAACTTCTGGAGGCAGTGGCACAGTCAGCAGGGCCCTTATCCACTGAAACAATAGAAACCAGAAAGCCAGAACAAAAAGGAAATCACAGACACAGACTTACCTGGGGCATTTTGTGGCTGCAGGGGGAGATGCTGAGTCAAGGAAAAGCTGCCCCCTTCTGAAGGGGTGTGGAAGTCCAGCAGCCTTCTTGCAATGCCAACCAATTGCTAGTGACATGGAATGTTTTGAGAGACAGGTGCTGGAGCAGACATGAGAAAGGAGGCTTCAGTCTGGTCCATTTCTCCCCTTCTTAAGGCCTTGCTGCCTGGGCCCAGATGCTCCCCACCCTTCCTCTTTCCTTCCCTGGGTTCCACGTTGTTTTGTGTTGTTATTTACTTGTTTCTTGTCACAGCTTTATGGTGGTTTCAGTCACTAACCTGGATCCATTTTAGGGGACGCTGCACCTGTGTGCTGCTTCCCCTGAGTGGGGACCCACTTAAGGGGTCTTGGGGATTGAGCCCTGCAGCAGCATGCCTGGCTCAGGCACAGTGGCCTGGCTCCTCTCCTAGTTGGTAAGGGGTCTAAGCTGAAGCTTGTGCCCATGTGGCTCCACTGGTTTGTCATACCAGGTTACCCCCAGCATTCAAGTTGGGGAGGGGTTCCATCAACCAATAGATGTGAGTCACCCCGTGTCTGGATTCATGCCTTGTGCAGCCCCAATGCTGTAATCAACAAAGATGTGGCCTGTTCCACTCAAGTTGCTTCTCAGTGTACTTCTGTGTTACCTTTTCCTCTCTCAGCTGCCTCTCCCTTCCCTTAAGACCTCAGTATTGTGTTGCAACTAAGCTTTGTAAAGTGCATCCTGATCTTTCTGAAATCCTCCAACAGATCATTCCATAGTTTGGGGTTCTTTACTTTAATATCCCAGGACTGGGCAGGGATTGTCCTCATTCATCTACAGGTGGGGATGGACAGAAGGAGCTGCTGGGGAAACCAGAGTTATCATATGGGTTTGTAAAGGAAAAGATGGCCCTTGAATCATGACAGCCCCAGATTGTGAAGGCCTTTAAAGGTTCAAATTAGAACCTTGAAGTGAATGCAGAAATCCATTGGCAATTAACATAACAATTTCATAATAGGAGTAAGAAGTTATGTGAAGATGCTAAAGCTGTATACATTGCAAACCCCCAAGAAAACTAAGCATGACTGAGCTTTAGTGGCTGCTATCAATGCTAAAACAAGATTTATTTTTTCTTTAATGGGCCACTTTTCCCAGTCTGGTGACAATTGAGTAGAAATTGCCAATATGGGAGTCTCTGCTTCTCCTGCATAAGATTCCACAAGGATTTTTGTTGGGTTAAAAAGAAGGTCAGGTATCATTTGAAGGCTTTGCCAGGGATGGGGGATGGAGTGAGAGATGAATCAGGCAGAAAGTCAGTAGGATCGAAAATATTGTCTCAGCATGTTAAATACCACCATAGCAGTGTGGGATAAAATCATAGCAGAATGTCTTCTGTATCACGCCAATTAATGTTAAGGATTTTACACTCATTTCTTTGAAGATGTTAACTCTCCTTTCTCATGAATGCATTAGACACAGCCTCTTTCAGTATGTACCGAGAGTTGCTATCCTGGTTACAGAAAGAAAATGAAGGAGGGGGAGCCATTTTGTTGCTATGATTGCACTCCATGTCCAGAAGGGAAGATATCTGACCGGAGGGGTAAGACCTACATGTTTACACAGGAGTAAAATGGCAGAAAGAAAATAGATTGTCTGTCAAAGAAACACAATTAAATATGCATACTTCAGATGTGACTTGCTGCAGGATTTTAAAAATGATCATTTAGTTAATGACAGTTGGGCTTGTGATTATACTACACAGGCATTCTTTAGCATATACTACAGAAATTAAACAACAGAGATTATAGTTTGTCTAACAAACCTGAGACAGGCCTGGTTGGCAGTAATCATGTCTTCCAACAACAGAAAACCACATCTAGGATCTGCTCAAAGCAGCTAACCTAAAAGAAATACCGTCACGAATGTGTTCTTTAAAATGGTACAGATTTAGTATGGTACAGCAATTCAGTAAAAACAGATATATCAACAGTAAAAAGAACCTATCAACATTTGGATATAGCAGTCAGAAAGCCAGGATTATCATAATATAATTCTCTTGGCGTATTGGCCATTTTCCAGCTCTCCCATTGGCTGTGCAGTGCGCTCCATCAGCCATTGGCCTGTCAACCACCACTCAAGAGTACTTGCATGCCACTGGCTGTGTGCTGGGTCTGCTCCTCTTCCCCACCCACTCACACTTCAGCCACTGTTCCCTGTCAGAATAACTGCCAAATGGCTGTCTCTCCTGATGAAGACACTTCTCCTCCTTGGCTCCTGTGGGCCTATTCCCTCAGTGGCTGTGGTTGGGCAACCAAGCTTGGTTCTGTCAGTAAAAAGACAAAGGAAGGAAACCCTTTCCAGGCCTTTGTGAGGAACTCATTGGGGCCAGTCCTGACTAGGGTTGCAAGTTCCAGGTTGGGAAATTCCTGAATATTCTGTGTCTAAGGAAGCCAGTAGAAGGAACCCGGAGTCTGGGGAAGGGAGAGGCCTCAGCTGAATAGAATGCCATAGAGGCTACCCTCCAAAGCAGTTATTTTCTCCAGGGGGAGAGAGGAATCTGTTGTCTGGAGTTCAGTTGTGATACCTGACTATCTTCAGGCTCCACCTGGAGGTTGGCTACCCTAGGTGTAGTGATCAGTGCTTCAGGGCAGGGTCTGCCTGCTGTGGAAGCTGAGTGGGTGATTTTGGACCAGTCACAGACTTTCAGCATAACCTACCTCATAGGTTTATTGTGCAAGTCAAAAGGGGGAGAGGATAATGATGTAAGCTGCTTTGGTCCCCATTGAAGAGAAAGACTATGTTTCCTCCCGGGGAATCAATGTTGCCAATCTCCAGGTGAGAGCTGGAGATTACTCAGAATTACAACTGCTCCCAACTTCCAGTTTCGCCGACTTCCATGGCGGATGCACTCCTTCAGTGCTCAGAAAGGAATGGACCATGATGTGGCAGACGGGGCTCCTAGCCTGGGGTGCTGGAGTTTGCCTCTCCCAAGGCTGCGGCCAAGGAATTGAGGCACCTCCAAGCTCTGATAGGTTCCCTCGCAGTCAGGGTTTCAGAGTACAGTAGAGGCTGCAGGTGGGGAGGCAGATGGAAAGCTGAAGAGTGAGAGGGGAATAAAGGTACGTTGATGATTGGCTGGGAAGGAGATAAGGTTCCCAACTCCAGGTTGGGAAATTCCTGGAGATTCGAGGGGTGGAGTCTGGAGAGGGTGGGGTTTGAGGATGGGTGGGACCTCTGACAGGTACAATGGCATAGACTCCCCCCTCCAAACCAGCCATTTCCTCCTTGGGAACCATTATTGCCAATTTCCAGGTGAGGGGTGGAGATCACTCAGAATTACAACTGCTTTCCAGGAGGGAGTAAGTAAATGTGTAAGGACATCTAGTGAAAAACAATAACAGTCATTCACTTATCACTGGAGAAAATGCCGCTTCTCAGCCAGGCCATTGTTACATGAATGCTATCCAGTTATACATAAGAGGAATATAGACAAGAATTCGTATCTTAAATTTAACTCATTTCATCCAATGAAATTGGATGTATAATTGGATGTGTAAAATGGAATGAACTGAGTTGATTAATATAAGAATGTTTATATAATTTTTGTTTTGTTTTTTTCTCTTTCTTTGTTTGTTGAGGTTTTCTCCTTCTGAAATTGTGGGATTAATGTGTTGTTAGTTTACAGATTATAGTGGTGAGTGTGAGAGGTTGTAAATTAAAGGGTGGTGGTGGAGATTGCAAAATGAAAAATGAAGGTAATTAAGTGGTATGGAAGAGGGTTTAGTTAATCTTAAGCAAAGGTTGGAATTAATAATTAGGCAGGTGATAGTAAATTTGGGGGAATGTATGTTGTATAGAAAAATGATCCAGTATAGTGGTATAATATACTAGACATTACTGTATGGAAAAATCTATTGTATATTGGAGTAAGTAGGAATTTTTTTCAGGATTTGTTTCAAGAGAACAATGTTGATTATGAGGATTTAAAAATTATTACTAATGGAAGTATGTACTCAATAATTACTCTATTTAGTGATTAACTAGAAGAAAAATGTAATTATGCTTGCTTGACTTGTTGCTGTTGAGAAGATTTTTGTTGTATAGGGTGTTAACTGGATGGATTGTTTATTTAAGATATGTTATAGGTTTGTGCATTATAGTGAAAACTCAATAAAATATTTATATAAAAATAAAATTTATGTGGTGAAGTGTTCTAGGGCAATAAATTCTAGAATCCTTGAACACTTTTCAAGAATTAAAAAAACATAATTTTGATGCACCATTGACCCAGCATTGGCACGAAAAAGGATATGCCCCTGAAAGTTTAAGGTACTGTGTTATTTATCAATATAAACCACATAAATATAATATTGAGGATATTGAGCGTATTTTATTACAAAAAGAAGCATGGTTTATACATAAACTTCATTCTCTTGCACCAACTGGTCTTAATGCAAGTTTGGATTTCTCTGCATTTATATAACTGGGTAGCATTCATATAGTACTGGTTTAAGAGAGCTCAAAAAACTGTTGCACACTTAATTAGAAACACCTGTTTGGTGAGACTTATTGTGAGCATGCCCGTCAGGGCTGTGAAAACCAAAACGCCTAACTGAGAGACTGACGCTGTGCCGAAGTTGGGAGCTTTCAGCAATGTAAATTGAGCTTGTAGGTGTGGGTAAGCAAACTAAAACTATCTAGTGTACAGAATTTCTTACCATTCTTTGCGGAATAATTGTATTTTGTGTGACTTTGCTGATGATGTTTGACTGATTGCTTTGTATTGTATGTTTTCTGATAGCTTCAATAATAGTCCAGTCTTGAGAAAGGATTACCAAAAAGTTGTGTAGCCAGTACATCTTCGACTGTTTTGTTTGGATTTTGGACTATAAATACTTCAACCAGCAACAGTTGTGTGTTGATATTTTGTTTGAAATAAAAGGAGTTGGATGACCGAACTGGGAGTGTTTCCCTTCCAGGAAGGAGGGCAGAAATCAGCTGAAGTCAGAGGGGCAGATAACAGTAGATTGATGGTTAGCTGGGATGGAGATCCAGGTTGGGAAATTCCTAGGGATTTTAGGGGTGAAGCCTGGAAAGGGTTGGGTTTGAGGAGGGGTTGGACCTCAGATAGGTACAATGGAGGAGGAGGAGATTGGATTTATACCCTGCCCTTCAGTACCCAAAGGAGTCTCAGAGCAGCTTACAAACTCTTTAACCGTGTGAGGTAGGTGGGGCTGAGAGAGCTCTCACGGAAACTGCTCTTTTTCAAGAACAGCTGTGCCAGAACTATGGCTTGCCCAAGGTCATCCAGCAGCTGCATGTGGAGGAGTGGGGAATCAAACCCAGTTCTCCCAGATTAGAGTCCACACACTTAACTACTACACCAAACCACTACACCATAGACTCCACCCTCCAAACCAGCCATTTCATCTTGGGTAACAATTGTTGCCACTCTCCAGGTGAGGGCTGGAGATCACTCAAAATTACAACTGCTCTTCAGGTAGCAGAGATCAGTTGCTCTGGAGAAAATGGTGGACTCTGTGTCATTATACCCTGCTGAGGTCGCCACAGCAAATTGACACTGTATGCCCAAGGCCAGGGCACTCTCCCAGAGCCTCTTTCTAGCCCCTTGTATTTATTTCCACAACAGGCCTTATTCCTAGTGAATCTATAGAAATATAAAATCAGGCCATCAAAATATCACAAGCTCAGAATCAGTTTACATGATCAGTAAAGTAACAATGAATAGAGGATAAAAACAAAGTAAAAATCTAGGTGAATGAGTATTAGGGTTACCAGATGGCATGGTGTTGGGGGCAGGAGAATTTGGAGCAGAGAGTGGGGAAAACAGCACCATGTGACTCTGTGATGTTACTTTGAGGCGAGTACCAGGAAGTGATGTCACACCATCATGCAATGTAATTACCACCCTGCAGTTTTGCTTGAATGAGTGAGGGTAGGGATCAAGGTAGCCTGGTGAGCAACCTGGTAAGACTCACAAGGGCACTGAATGTAATGCTAGGAATAAAGATCTTACCTGGACTGTAGGGGAGAATGAATATTAATGAGTACTGTCAATAGAAACATTATTTGGTAAGGAATATGCAAGTTTCTCTATGACTCATTGCTGCAGTAACAAACACCTTTGATGACTACACGATCATTTAGAACCACTGGATTCGGGTTCAGAAGCACCTTAGAGACCAACAAGATTTGGCGAGGTATAAGACAAAAATGGCTACCCTCTAAAAACACACTATCATTGATGGTCCTACCTTATTTAGATGACTGTTCACATGCTTCAAGAAGTTCAGAACATGATAATCCAGTCTTTCAGAAATATAGATTTCAAGACTCATTAAGATAGGGCTCTGTGTTCTGAGGTGGGGTCCCGCAGCATTCTAATTACTGACATAGAATATGATATAGAGGAAGTTGCATGGTGGTATTATAAGCGGGTAATATAAGGAAATAAGAAAAAGATGAGGGTATAAACAAGATTGGGATTAAGTTATAAACAGGCGATATGTCACCTCAATGGTTGTTGTTGTTGTTTTTAGTTTCAAAAGGAGTATAACATATTTGGAAAGAATATCCGTATGAAATTGTAACATATACTCAATAAAAATATTAATTAAAAAAAGAAGAAGTTCAGAACATGATAATCCAGTCTTTCAGAAATATAGATTTCCAGACTCATTAAGATAGAGCTCTGTGTTCTGAGGTGGGGTCCCGCAGCATTCTAATTACTGACATTGATGTGTAACAGCTATGATTGGTATTTATACCCTAAAAATATTTAGTATGTCATGAATGTTAATTCTCAGCATTAGTCTCTGCTATGTTTCTGCCTAGAGCTGACTGTCCAATCTAAACAGAAAATAGTTATCTATTTGAGAAGTATTGCATTAATTAGTAGCATTTATACATACATGCTACTAATAACACAATACTCACATAGACAAATGTTCTGTATTTATACTAGAGGATCAGTATATGTATGACATGTTAGTGATATTCAAATCCACATCATTTTATTTTCTCAGACATGAATGACTATTAAAAATGTGCAGATATACAATATCCAAACAAAAAACACAATTTATGTATTCCCAAGGATATCAGCTTCTAGTCCTATGAAAAACCTTTGAGGGTCATCTTTTGCCCTTTTTTGCTCTTTCCTTCTCTTTGATTACAGCTCTGATACTAGGGATTTTTTTGAAGCACCACAACATTCCCATGAAAATATTCTTTAGTCTGAGCAGAGAACAGTTCTCTATCTGCTATATACGGCTTCTTAATTTATTAGTTCTAAAAAGATTACTAAAATATAGCTAGACCCCATGTGAAAGGCTGCAAAAAGCTATCACAAATGCATACAATTTTGCAGCTAAAAGAGTGACAGGTCTGCTATTATCTTTTAATAAATGAGGTAATGTCTCCATATGATCTATATTTTAGAGCAAAGGAGGAATTAAAAGATTTCTAGGCTCAGAAAAGTAATTATATTCAAAGGGCATGTGATACAGTTTGTCTTACACTACCGGCAACACAGTTTCATATTCTACCCTGGCAAAGACACTTAAGACTTGTGAAAGTCTAGATGGTAAGGTATTAAGGTATGCCAACATGAAGGCATCCCTGTAGTGTGGAACAGTCAAATATGAGCAGTAATCATGAAGCTCTCCAGGTGGAAGTATACCAGAATACCCGCAAATTGAGTAAAAGGAATGTATTGTGCTCTCGTGTGGTGTACATGTGATTTCCGCCAAAAACCCCCCAACAATCTTGGATTGTTGATAGTTAACTATCAGGCTTTCTTCCGGACAAAAAGAGACAATATATCCTTCCACCATGAAATACTGGTTTTGTAGAGTTCTGAAGGAATTAAATCTGCACTGTGATTTAATTCCCATTCTTAATTTGAGAAATCAGAACACTAATTTCAGCTGGTCAAACAGGGGGTCACTCTGGTAGTTCAGCTAGGTTCCTGTTACTCTGATAATCATAATTACTACAAGAACAGGTGAAGCAAAGTGTTCCTCCCAGGTATGTGAGGAGATACGAGATGAAAGTGGGCTCCAACTGTAAAGCAGAGCTAGCCAGCTTCTATAGTGCACTCAGATTTCTATTATTTCTGGCAACTCTGATTAGCTTTTGCCAATTAGTGAGGCAAGTGTCTTCTTTTCTCTTGCATATAGCTTATCTATATCCTTTTTTTCAAAAAAAAAGCTTGAAGTGTAATTGCAGAGCTACAATGCCTACATTCTGAAAGTGCCTGATAGCAAACTTTTTTAGAGACACTGAAGATTAAACCAGCTATTTTTAATAAGTATCAGTGCCTTATCTCAATAGATCTGTACATATTACACAGGCAACAACTGGGAGTAGAGAACAGTTACCTCTGCAGTATATTGGTAAAATATTCAACACACTTGAGATGTATAGTATATTTGTTGTATTCAAACTACATCCAATATATCCTTCCACCATGAAATACTGGTTTTGTAGAGTTCTGAAGGAATTAAATCTGTACTGTGATTTAATTCCCATTCTTAATTTGAGAAATCAGAACACTAATTTCAGCTGGTCAAACAGGGGGTCACTCTGGTAGTTCAGCTAGGTTCCTGTTACTCTGATAATCATAATTACTACAAGAACAGGTGAAGCAAAGTGTTCCTCCCAGGTATGTGAGGAGATACGAGATGAAAGTGGGCTCCAACTGTAAAGCAGAGCTAGCCAGCTTCTATAGTGCACTCAGATTTCTATTATTTCTGGCAACTCTGATTAGCTTTTGCCAATTAGTGAGGCAAGCGTCTTCTTTTCTCTTGCATATAGCTTATCTATATCTTTTTTTCAAAAAAAAAAAGCTTGAAGTGTAATTGCAGAGCTACAATGCCTACATTCTGAAAGTGCCTGATAGCAAACTTTTTTAGAGACACTGAAGATTAAACCAGCTATTTTTAATAAGTATCAGTGCCTTATCTCAATAGATCTGTACATAGTACACAGGCAACAACTGGGAGTAGAGAACAGTTACCTCTGCAGTATATTGGTAAAATATTGAACACACTTGAGATGTATAGTATATTTGTTGTATTCAAACTACATCCCTTCCTTTTCAGACATGAATGACTGTAAAAAGTGTGCAGAGGAATACTATCCAAATGCAAATCACAGTGTATGCATTCCCAAGGATATCAGCTTCTTGTCCTATGAAGAACCCTTGGGCATCATTTCAGCCATTTTTGCCTTTTTCTTTGGTTTGATTACAGCTCTGATACTAGGAATTTTTCTGAAGAACCATGACACTCCTATAGTGAAAGCTAACAATCGGATCCTCACCTATACTCTCCTCATCTCTCTCTTGTTCTGCTTTCTCTGTGCATTGCTATTCATTGGCCGACCCAAGAAGGTGATATGTCTTCGACAAACTGCTTTTGGCATGATCTTCTCTGTGGCTGTTTCTTGTGTCCTGGCAAAGACACTTATTGTGATTTTGGCTTTTATAGCCACCAAACCAGGGAGAAAATTGAGGAAGTGGGCAGGGAACAGATTGGCCCACTCCATTGTTCTTTTCTGCTCTCTTATTCAAGCAATCATCTGTGCTGTGTGGCTGGCAGATTCTCCACCATTCCCAGATGTTGACATGCATGCAACACCTAAAGAAATTATACTGGAATGTAATGAGGGGTCTGTTACTATGTTTTATTGTGTCTTGGGCTATATGGGTTTCTTGGCAGTGATCAGTTTTACTGTGGCTTTTCTTGCCAGAAAGTTACCTGATAGTTTCAATGAAGCCAAGTTTATCACATTCAGCATGCTGGTCTTTTGCAGTGTTTGGGTAACCTTTGTTCCAACCTACCTAAGTACCAAGGGGAAATATATGGTGGCTGTGGAGATTTTCTCTATCTTAGCCTCCAGTACTGGGCTGCTAGGTTGCATATTTTTCCCTAAATGTTTCATTATTGTGTTGAGGCCTGAACTGAACAATAGGAAACATCTAATGATCAGAAAGGTTTAAACAATTTTAGATGCTTTTTCCTTTGCTGTACTGTGCAATCTAGAGTTTGCATGTGTAGGCAGGTTTGCCAAGAAGAGGGACTGGGGGGACAAAATTCCAGTGGCCCAAGTCAGCTGGAGGGGCTCTGAAGCCAGCATCATGCTACATTCAGAATACATATCAATTTATTCTACTTCTAGTGCAGTTCAACACTGCAGCCACTACAGGTGCAGGGAAGGCAGAGCACAGTAAACAGCAGTAGCTCTTACTCTCTGCTGGCTCTGCCGTTTTGCAAACTTTACTACAAGGAGGCAAACACTTGCATATCCTGCTAAACCCATCAACCAAGCCAGCATTGGAGCAAGGCAAGACTAGGCAGCATTTCTCATGGCTGGACCAGTCATTGCTATGCAACTTCCTAACAAGTTTGTTGTTTCCAATAGTCTGTTTCCCTCTTCCTTGCCTTCCTTCCAGTTCTATAGTTTTGTTTGCTCAGCCAGATCTTGAAAAGAAGTAGCCCTATCATTTTTTTGTGGAAAATAAAACATTTCCCCATGATCTAGTAAAAAGATGCTTCCCCCCCCCCCACTATTACAAGCATGGTAATGGAATGTTATTCTGTTTTAGTGGATACACATGTGTAATAGAAATTACAACTGTTTATCTCCCCTTTAATTAGATTGAATTAAATTTTGAAAACTGTTTAGCTAGTGGGTTGTTGTTATTACTGTATTGGTGGGACATCCAGTACCCTTGATAAATGCTACTTTGCTCTTGGAGACTTTAAGCTTCAAGTTATATGAAAAATGACACAACCTTTTTTGAAAATATGCCAGCAAAATCAATCCCAGTGTTCCTAATACTTCTATCCAGCACAACTACACAATAAATTTTCCCCTGCTTTTGAGCTAGCTAGGTACAAGGGTAATTTTTTAAAAAAACTGATTTACTTCGTAAAGTAGAGGAGGCAGCACCGGCTTAGTAATGCTACAGAGTTGCCTGTTTGAAGATTGTGACTGGTTGGCCATCTGAAAATCATTGTAACTTTTTTGAAAATATCATGGAACTTTTGAAAATTGATTGAAAATACAAAATTGATTCCTGATAAAAATGAATGAAAACTTTAATTGTATACATGTATTTCTGAAGAAGACGATTGAAATGAAGCTCATTTCTGGAATCTTCGGTAGAACTTGATGAGAACTTCATTGTTGAACATCATTTGAATGTATTGTCATTTTGCACATTACACGTTTAGAATTGTATTGTATTGTGTACTGTTACATATAAGTATACTATGCATTATTTAACAAAATAGACATATTGTCATCTCTAGTGTCTACCATTCACAGTTTCTATTCTGGTTATTATTACTTACTATGAGGTCTTTTCATTTTTTGGTTGATAACTTTCACATATGCATGTGTTTTGTCCCATTACTGGATCTCCTGCAGCATTGCAGGGCATTAAAATAGCTGTCCAAACCAACACTTGCCATCCACTCCTGAATTCTTTCACAATCCGCTTCCATCCTTGTTTTAAAACAATTGTTTTGGATTCTAAATGTAATAAGCTGTCTTTATGGTCTAGCTGGGTTGTTGATGGTTTGATTATGCTAATTATTTTATGCTGTTTTATCATTTGGCCATGTTTTACATTATGAATCATTGCAGGGGTGGGGGGAAGCAGGTGCTTTCACTGAGTCACAACCCCTTCAAGAAATGTGTCCAGAGCAGAAAACATAGAGAGCAATTTTAATGCTCGGGTTCCAATCTTAAGGAAGCAGTTCTAAGAAGTAGGGTGCCAGTCATAGGAGGTGTGCATTTTTTTCAGAAACAATTTCTGAAACAAATCATCCTGTTTTGAAGTATCAGAAGGTCCCCTGAATGAGCAAATCCCTCCAAATCATTTCAAACTGAAACAAACACATCATACCTGTGGATGAAATAAGACCAAATATATCTAAGCAAAATTTATGAGTATCACATTATTACAGTTCTTTAATTTTGCCACCATGCACCCAAAAGAAAGATCCCACCACAGTTTTGGAGTTAGGCTTAGGTTGATTAAAGTCTTATGCTGAAGAGAAGTAGTAGAAGAAGAAGAGGAGGAGGAAGAGATTTGATTTATATCCCACCCTTCACTTGAAATCTCAGAGCGGCTTACAAACTACTTTCCCTTCCTCTCCCCACAACAGACACCCTTTGAGGAAGGTGGGGCTGAGAGAGCTCTTTTGAGTACTGCCCTTTCAAAAACAGTTCTTGTCAGAACTATGGCTTACCCAAGGTCATCCAGCAGCTGCAAGTGCAGGAGTGGGGAATCAAATCCAGTTCTCCCAGATTAGAGTCCACACACTTAACCACTGTATCTTACAAACATTTTTATGGACCTTCCTTAAGTCTCCCAAGATTTTTACCAATGGCTGGGCAGATCATAGTGGTTCCAAGCTTGCCTTGGTATTATCATCACAATTTGCTTTTCTTTGCTGACACATTAGCCTGTGCAGAGAAATGTCCATCAACACCCTTCCCCTGTACACAGCATGTAATTTGAAGGGAAGATCTTGAATCCTGAGAGTGCCATAACAGGTATGTAGACTGGGCAGTCCACAGTGACTGGATCCTTTATAATCTCTCCATCTATCGATGCCTCAAGAAGAGGGTCAAACAATTAAAATGTCAGAATGGTAGGAGAGCTTTTTGTCTTCTCTCATTTGTACATAAATACTGGGATTCCATGTTGAAGCGTTGGGAAGGAACCCAGACATACATACCTAATTGTGGTTGGATTTATTATTGAATGGTGAAAACAACACTAATTCCTAAGATTTAGACAACAATTTCAAAATCTACCTCAGATCCTCTAGATCAGACCTAGAGAGTTGGAGGCCTAAAAAACCCAAAACATCCAAGGTAAAGAATCTATGGATTTTAGTTTGTGTATGCCAATTAGGAAAGAAAACATTTAAAACTGGTAAAAACATTACATTTCTGATATTAAGGCTGCTGTCAGATTACAGCCTTGACGGGGTGTGGCCATGCCTCTATTTTATCTGGTGTTATTTGTTTTGGAGAGGTTTGTCCAAACATGCTATCCTTAATCCACCTCACCATGTGCTTACTCCATGGTTGTCCATTCAGATTACAGCTGTGCGGTAACCACGGAGTGGGCGGTCGGCTGGCATCCTTTTTAGGAATTGTCTTTCATGCATGCAGAAGCACTTCTTCGAAGCACCACTCCTTTTTGACAGCTCCACAATCCCTCCACCAAGTACTGCAGCCCCTCTCAGCCTCCTTTGCTTTTCCTCTCTTCCTTGGAATACATGGGGGGAAAGTGTAAGCATCTTTACATGCAGATTTACATGACAGTAGCTGCATTGACTTCAGTACATTTATTCTTGTTTCAGTCATTGGATGTTCTCAAACACCAACTCTGAAGCGGAAAATCCCTTTTCTGCTAACACAGTTTGCATGGGGGAAAGTGGGACGGAAGATAGGGTTGCCAGCTCCAGGCACGGAAACTCCTGGAGATTTAGGAATGGAGCCCGAGGACAACAGGGACCTCAGTGGGGTACAGTATCACAGAGTCCATGTTCCAAAGCATTCATTTTCTCCTGGGGAACTGATCTCTGTAGTCTGATTAACATCTACCCCCCACTTTAGCCAAAGTCCATGGCCAGAAAGCCCTGCAAATGTTTGGGACACATATTCAGTCCAATTTTACTCAGAAACAAGGCGGCCTGGATTTTAATTCCCCCCCCAGCTTTACCCAGGTCTCCCTGAATTAGGGATGTTAGCCTCCCCAGGCTCCCGGCTGATATAGGAGCCTAAGGACTATTCCCATGGCTTACCATGGCTGAAACAGGAGAGAGGGGGTTGGGGGAGATTTGTCACTCAAAAACATCTCCCCTGGGGGATCCCAATCCTGACAGAATGTTTGGGTGCAGAAATGTGCAAGTGGTGTTTCACATCCCTGGGGTGAACATCAGTTTATGCGCACATTGCTAATTTAATTTTTTTAAAATTAAATGGCACAAAGACAGAAGCTTGATTTTGCAAGAAAGAGTTCAGATGACGTGAAATGCACAGTGAGACCAGTTAAATCAATAAAGATTAGACTTTCTCCGGTGCTGGGAAAGTTGGGGTGAGAACAGGGTGCCAATGATTGGGAGATACGGATGTCACTGTCTGAATGAGCATTTTAAATCCAGAGTGGAGAAGCAACGACATCAGATCAAACAGCTTGTCTGACAGCAACCTAAAGGTGGCTGTCCCAGGAATTCTTGAGGCAAAGAAACTTTGTAGTGCACAATGTCTACAATTTGTACACAGAACACACACATAATACAAACAAGTTTAGGGTTAGATCAAGGAATAGGTTTTTCTACTCCACACAGCATTTCCTTCCAATGGCAGGAAAGCTGATTTTCAGGGTTGTAAAGGTACAAGGTGAAAACCAATAAACACAATAAACTAGAGAAGACAGTTCAGCCCTGTTTTACTAGAAGAATTTTGCTCGAGCTGCTTTGGGGGAAATGTCCAAGATCAGTGAGCTTCAACAATGCAGTCTTGATTTCTTTGTTTCTCATGCTATAGATGAATGGATTCAGCAATGGAGGTAATATAGCATAAATCAAGGCACAAATTACATTCATCTCAGAAGAAGTGTTACCAGGAGGCCTCACATAGGCAAACATTCCAGTGAAAAGAAGCAGAGACACCACAGTGAGGTGGGGAAGGCAAGTGGAGAGGGCTTTTTTGCGACCCTGCTCAGAAGGCATCCTGAGTACGGCTGCAAAAATCTTCACATAAGTTATAATGATGTAGACAAAACATCCTCCAAATAAGCCATAGCTAAACAGAAGAATTCCAAATTCAATTAGATATAAGTCTGAGCACGAAAGTTTTATTATCTGTGGAACTTCACAGAACAATTGATTGATTATATTGGAACAGAAGGTGATGGCAAAAGTGCCACCGGTGTGTAACATGGCATAAAGGATACCGGAAATCCATGCACTG